GAAAACCTTTGGAAAGAAGAAAGATAAAAAGAGAATTAAGGAGAAGGCAGTGATGCAGCTGAAACTGGCTCAGCCAAGTGACTGGAAGAAACTGAGAGGAACACACTGCTGGTAGTAATTGCACATAAGGAGAAGGCAGGCTTGGAGTTTATATTACAAAATACCACCAGCTTAAAAGAATTCCCTATAGGATAATGCTTGTGTGTAAGAACCAATCATCTCAAGAATTTCACTGATATTGGTAAGAACTGAAAATTCCAACAGAGAAGCAAAGGGCATTTACAAGACTCCAGATGTGATCTACAGCTCAGGAAACCTTTAGGAAATCAACACTGAAAAGGTTTTCCTATCTTAATGTGGTCACTACTCCAACTTCCTTTCAAAATGCAAGAACCATTTCCCCAATGTAGGACCCTGCACAACGAGCAGGGTCAGGAACTGTTCCCCAGAACGACAAATAAGAAGGGAATGCATAGGCAGAAAGAGCATTTAATTTGGGCAGAGATCACCCAGCTGCTGTATGCCACTGGGATATACAGCCATGGCAGTAAAATCCCAAAGGGAGTGAGAAATAGGAAAAAAGAGCTCTGTGCAACAACCTCCGATGAAAAGGTCGTTACTTGAATTGACAGAGCTGTAGCACTAACATTTTCTAGCAACATTTTTCTACAATTTCAGAATTTTGGCTGCACTACACTTTCCATGGAAAAAAAAAATTATGGTAGTAACATTCGTAGAAATAATTTCTGATGCTTTTTAAACATAGGTAATAACTGATCAGTCTCACAGAGTTTTAAATTAAAACTCTGGCAGACACCCGTGGTAGAAAATAACAGTTTTCCCCCTTAAGAAAGAAGGTCTACTATGTAATTCAATGGATCAGTGTTGTGTATGGCACAACTACTGAGTCTATGCCATTAGAAACTTCTTAAACCCTTCAGTAAGTATGAGAAGGAGAAATGGAAACAGTGAACAGGAATGAAACAGGAAAGTGGGTCTTTTCTGATGCACAAGCAAAACAATTACAGAAGAACAACTTTAGGGAATTGAATTTTTACACTGTCATTAATTGCTTTGTTGCCTTTGTGTTACAATTCACATGACAAGCTCCAAAAAGTTAATGAATGCAAAAAGATACGTGACAGCTCATGAAGAGTAACCCTGGATTAGCACAAGTATTGACTGCAGAGACAGAAATACTTCAGGTGTGGGTGAGGAGGAGAATGACAGTCCACAACACAGCAGTGAAAATGAAAATGGACACTGGGGAGTAAACCGTCTCACTTTACTCCTTTTCTTTAGCCACAGATAAGCTGGATTGGATTATATGAAGTAGACATCTAAAGCTAGGCATTCATAGAATCATAGAATGTTTTGGGTTGGAAGGGACCCCTAGAGGTCATCTAGTCCAACCCCCAATGAGCAATATGGCTTACCAGTGTGGGGAAAAGAAAACACAAGCATGGACCACTGATAAACATCACAAACTAAGTATTTCTCAGTTAGCGTGTCATTTTGATTATTTATTTTTCCCTGTTGTTTTATCTGATTGCCTAATAGGTTCTACCATTTCTTAGTAAGTTTTTGCCAATAGAAAGAATCAAGAATTTTTATTTTAGTACGGATCAACCAAATGAGTTTTTAAGTTGTTTCGGAACCATTTCATTCTAAACAACATGATTAAAAAAATCTGCATGTATTTCACGTCTCTTTTTACTGTGCAAAAATGAAAGCAAGTAACATGCCCTGTGACACACCAGTCCCCTAGAACAGATTCCATTTTCCTCATATAGCATCACATTAAGACAGAGAATACCTTTGTTGTCACATTCTCCTTTCTTTGTCTAAACAGAAATGTAGTGTATCGGTTTCTAAAAATATGCTAATTATGAAGCCTTAAGTTAACTGAACTGGGCCTTACATTTGTGTTAAGAAAAGTAAACCTGTATGTTCATGCAATGGGCCTGTATTTTCAGTGAATTTTCTTCCTAAGCAGATGACATAAAAGTAAACCTTTCTTTTTTCCCCGAGCTGGGAAGGGTGTTAAAAGGGTTATTAGCTTTTTGCTGACAGAATAACATTAACATATTTTCAAAAAATAACAAAAGATTTTTTCTGTAATATACTAAGATATAACAAATACATTAAAAAAGCCTAAACAAAATAGTATGTTCACCTCCGTTATGTGCAAGTTTGTGTTCCAGCTATATTTCACATGTTAAAAAATTAAACCCTACCTCCCTTTCCCCTTCCAAACCCAGTCAAACGCAGAATTAAATGCAGTCTCTTTCCTGGAAGCCAAGAGATGGAGATCCTTGAATCTGTTCACATTTCCAGGTCAGCTGTTGTTGCTCCTTAATCTTTTCCTCTAGTTTCTACTAGCACATTGACTAACATCTGAATATTTAGTTCTAGAAAGGAGAGATAAAAACATTTAAAGTTACTTCAAATAAGACAGCAGAGAGAATGTTAAAATGAAAGTTTAACTATTAACTAGCTAGCTACCTAGTTCATTAACTAATTCTAGTACCATAAGCATAGTTTGCATTTGCCCGCTCACACCCAGTGACAGCTATACAGTAGCATATGCCCACCTCCCTTTAAATCTCTCTTATAATCTATTTCCTAAGGAGAATATTTTATTTTTAATAGGATATCACTATTTTTAACATTAAGGAATGTTTCTACCATAACTGGAAAAAATTGTCATGTAACAAACCAGCTCTTCGACGTTTCTCTTCTGTTATCCCAACGTGTTGGATCCGTTTGGAGTATCTTCATCTATTATAATGCCATCCAAGTTTGGTTCTATATGCATTCCAGTATTTTTTTTCTTTATGCCAATATATTCCCTCCCGATAGTTGCCACCCCAACAGTACAGACCCTGATTATGATACAAGATGCTAGTTAGCATGATGGCCTAGGACAAACCTTTCGATTCAGGAAATCTCTGTGCTATCAAAATTTCCTCCCACTCACAGCTCTCTTTAGTTGCCAAGAGGCAAAGTCTCCTCAAAGAGGCAATTAATGCCCATCTTCAGCTGATACAGTTGAGCAAAATGAACTCAACTGCTCTGAACAGAGTGTGCTATCTCTGCAACACATGGTCTCCTGCTTACATTAAAGGAACTATGTTGATGTAACTCATTTTACATGAAAACTAATCACAATCTTACTTTGAAGTGCTGGATAATATGGAGCCAACTGTTTGAGCATCCTGGTCATTGTAGGTATATCCTTCCCTCGTAGTCTATTCAAAATGTTGGGAGCAAGACCAACAGCATCTTCATCAAACATCTTATCTGAGCTTTGGAACGGCTGGTAATCTCTGTACGAACCACTGCCAGAAAACGAGTACTGATGTGAACCCCAATCGTTCCTGTAGCCTGAGTTCCGATGTCTGAATCCTTGACACCTGGATTCCTGGTTCCAGCTAGATTCCTCGTTCCAGCTGGACTCCTGGTTCCAGCTAGAGCTCTGGTTCCATCTAGAGTCCCAGTCCCACCTCGAGTTCTCATTCCACCTCGAGTCCTGGTGCCACCTGGAGCCACCTCTTCCTGAAACAGCAGAATTTGCAGAAAATGTACAAGTATCCACAGACTCATCATTCTCATAAGAGGAATAGCTTTGCGAAGGATAGTTCGTGGAGTATCTTCCAGATGAAGGATATGAGGCAGAATTGGGATAGGGTAATCCTTGATTGCTTAGACTCCTTGCTTTTAAGCATTCTTGTTGATTCCTCCAACTTGTACTTTCCCTGCCATATGAGATTCTGTTATCAGAGAGCTTATTTCCTCGCACATCGTTGGACATATATTCTGCCGAGTACTCACTCACTGGACTTGTCTCGTAGGAAGAGGCCCCGCCAGCTGAGTTACTGCCAGAAGCCGATCGGCTGAACTGTCTCAGCCATTCACTGATGCCACTGGCAGGACTTCTAGTCTGAAGAGCAAAAGAGTCCCTGAGTGCAGACATCGTTGCAAAGTCATTAGGTCTTAGCCCATAGGAAGACGATCCATCACCTGTTTGGTAACTGTATGAGTTAGCAGGAGCAAAAGAAGCATCTGCGGAACACTCTTCATACTGAGACAAAAAGCCTTGATTCCAGTTACAATTTCCTGCATACGTAAATGAATAAATAAATGGCACTACTAATTTGTTAAATGCAACTGGTACAATCGTTTGCAAAATAAACTTAACTCGGTATAAGCCCCTATTTTGCCTGACTGTATAGATATGGTGTTTAATGCATATTTGCTGTGTTAGCAAACATCAGTCCTCATTCTTTGACCGCATTTGTAAAGCTGAATAAAATTAAAGAATAACAGGAGGGGGACAACTGACTCAAACCAATTAATCACTTGAGCTAATACATCATCTGAATTCAACCAGATTTGCTTTACTGTCAAAGCATCTTAAAAATCAACCGGTGGAGTTACCATTTGAAAGCCTCTCAAGTAGCATGTATTTAAGAGAGCTCACGGAGATCAGGATACACTAATGGTATAGAAGAACAATTCTAAGTAGTAAAGCTAGCATCTCTCAAGAAGTTAACATCTTTGATTAATACATGGTGGTAGCATCACGTGCTCTTAATCCACCGTGGATATGAAATAAAACAGGTTAGCTTAAACCATAAGATTTCCTGTCAGTGCTTGTTTTCTGATTAAAAATGTATCAGTTCTGCAGTTCGCTGGGGGGAAAGAAAAAAGGTTTACAAAATTAAAGCCTGTAAATCATCTAGACATACGGCCAATGAAAAAGTTGCCAAGACTCTACTTTTGCAGTTCATCCTTACTGCACTTCTTTTCACCTTAAGATTTGTGGGACGTAGAGGGGGGCAACTACTTAGGAGGCCAGCAGTCTAAGGAAACAAGCTAAAAATCTCTTCCATTGTATCCCCCAGCGGGACTGGTACATTCGCTTTCAGTGTAAGAATGGCAAATACTCCTCTGAAGATACCCTGGCATGCCAGCCTTCACACTGAAGCCAGGCAGGTGTCACTGCTTGGATTTCCGATAACCTCTACTGCTGTAATACTATTCAGTGAGAGAGAAGTGTTCTTAGACCGTCAAGGTTGAAGTCATTAAGGCTTCAGAAAATGAGACCCTGAACTGACTCAGAGAGCAAAGACACACACCAAAGCAGCACTATGGCTGGCCATAACAGTAAATTTTTGCTATCTGTGCAGCGTTAAGAGTAGACTTAAACTGGTAGAACAAAGTGTCTAAATTACCTTTGGATTTTCCGTATGGCTTATAGTGTTTTGGGATGCTTTTCCTTCCTGGGAATTCACCTTGAGATATTGACATCAATGGCCTCAAACTGTTAGTATAATTAACCTAGATGAAGCAAAGGGTCAGAACGTCAGTTTTTAAACTCAAATCTTGAGCATTCCAAAAAAAAAAAAAAAAAAACCAAAACCAACAACCAACTTCAGTACAATTTTAGGTGACAGCAAACTCCATATGAAGGATGTGGTGTTTTGTTGTACACAATTACCACATTAAACCACAGTTTTCAAAAGTATTATTTGGAAGAGGTACATGTCTGGAGAACAGAAGGAGGTGTCCAGGGAAAACAACACCAAGTTTCAAAAGTCTTTACCTTATTGCCCCATATCCCTCAATATCACCTGGCTAAAATATAAAACTAGGACATGTGGGCACAGTGTAACCACCACCAACAGTCACTCACAGAGGCCATCAGCTCTGGTGTAGGCACGTTCTCCAGCGGGGCAGGGGATCGTGCCATACAGGTGGGGCTCCTGAGCCAGGGAAACCCCAGGGGAGCACAGAGGCCCCTCACAAGAGCGGCTGACAAGGCCTGGGTGGTGACAGGAGTAAGGGTGGCCACCCCTGCTCCCACAGAAGGTAGCCCCAGGCAGGGCAGTGAGCAGGCCATGGTGCCCCGGTTTGTGCAGGAGGGTGCCTCTTCAGAAGAGGATCATTCCACCAGCCAAGTGGGAGACTTGAAGTACACATAACCCAGCAACCAGGCACCTCTCAATGACCCTCGGCACAGGTCAAGGGCACTCATCCTACCGGACCCTCAAGGCAGAATGGTGGGCACTTCTCTGAGAGCAAAGGCTGTAGCTCCGCTGGGGAGTTCGCACCATCTACCCCAGCAGTGGCCAACACCTCCACCCAGATAGAGCTGCTGAAGGGAGAGGCTGCGGTGCAGACCTCAGGCTGTAGGAACTGCCCAGACCTTTCTTCCTGGGGCAGGGACAGGTGGCAAAGCTGCCTGCAGAAAGTGTGCCCAGGCAGAGGACCTCCTGCAGCAGGCAGCTGAGCTGCAGGAGGCAGTGAGAAGGCTGTGTAACACTGGGGAGGCTGAGAAGCAGTTAGATAGTTGGTTCCAAGAGCAATCCGCAGTGAACCCACAGCCCATGGCCAAACAGCCAAAAACTCTCCCAATGGCACACACAGAAGGGAGGGGGGCCAATTAATGCAGAAGAATGGGTAGTTGCAACAGCAAGGACCAGCAGGAGGAAGAGACTTCCCCTAAAGCCTGAGGTGCCCTTGCAGAACCGCTTCACTACCCTGCAGACATTAGAGAGACCACCACATCAGGAGAGAAGCTGGAGCCGAGTAAGGCAGCCTGGTCTGCTCCCTGTATAACAACCAGCGCAACTAAGAAAAGGCGACGGGTGATACAAGTAGGTGACTTTCTTCTGAAAGGTACGGAGGCACCCATTTGCCAATGTCACGCACTCCTTAGAGACGTGGGCTGCTTACTGGGGGCCCGTATCAGGGATGTCACCGAGAGTCTACCAAGCCTTGTCCAGTCCACTGACTATTATCCGCTGCTGTTGTTTCATATGGGCACCAGTGATACAGCCAGGAGCAGTCTGAGGAGTACCAAGAAGGACTACAGAGCCCTGGGGGTGGCAGTAAGGGACTCTGGAGCGCAGGTAGTTTTTTCGTCAGTCCTCCTCGCCAAAGGGAAGGTGTTTGAAGGGGCCAGTCAAATCTGGCAAATCAACAAATTACAGGACTGGTGCCACAGCCAAGGGTTTGGCTGCTTAGATCATGGGACTCGCTTTGAGAAACCTCATCTACTAGGGGCTGGTGGGGTCCATCTGTCAGAGAAGGGGAAAAGCATCTTCAGTCATAGGTGTGCCAGGCTGGTGAAGAGGGCTTTAAACTAAAGTTCCTAGGGGAGGGGAACCTCAATCCATCCCACTCCTACCAGTTTGATGCCAGTGCCAGCAATAGATGCCTAGAACCTGGAAAAGG